GTGTGTGTGTGTGTGTGTGTGTCAGAGTAACCATGTATTTGAAGAATCTGTTCCCAGGGATGAATCTCGTTGCCCCCTGCTGGGAGCTGTGGTTCACTGATGTCAGGGAAACACTCGGCTTCTTATTTTCTGCCTCGATGAAAAACGATGTGAAGTGTCTTCGCTCCTCAAACCACTTCGGTCTCACTTCAGACAGAAAGCGTAAAGTCCGCAGCAGGAGGAGACTCGTCCATTCAGACTTTAAACGGAGTTTGAGGATGAAACACTGCAAAATGTAAAATTAATTAAAGGACAATAAAATGGACAAGAGCTGAAACCTGAGTTTTCCTGTGACTTATTAAAATTGAGTGAAATCAACACGACACAGAGACGATCAACCTGCAGAAGAATAATAAAATAATATCATCTCAAGTTATTTTACTATTCAACACGATATTTACAGATGTTTGTGCAGATGTGAGGCCGCAGCTGTTCAGAGAGGAAAGAAACAGACGCTCCCATATGTTCATATGTTTGTTTGATAGATTCATATAATATTCATGTTAAACAAATCTGAAGCTTTTTCCACTTCGTCTAAAAAAGAAATATCTGTTCACAACCGAATACAAACGCTCAAACAACCAGACAGGACCAGTAGGTGGCGATAGAGTCTATGTAATGTTGTTTGAGGAGACGTTTGTGAATGTGGAGCAGTGATGACATGGCTCCTCCCCTCAGAATGACCCCRCCCCCATTGGACCCCCCCCCCCTCCTCTCAATGGCCCCTCCTCCTCTAGAGCTCCTCCCCTCTATGCCTATGTCACACACAAGACCCGATGACCTCGTTAGACGATGGCTTGAATATAAATGAACTTCCTGTTTGGTCTCACACGCTCAGGTGGGACAGGACCGGAGCTGATTGGTCCATGAGGACAGACAGGAGACAGACAGGAGAGAGAGAGAGGCCGACAGAGCGAGTCTGAAGAAATGATGAGAGACACTGAGACACAGTGAGTGGACGAGCGAGACAGTAATAACCCTTCAGACTGAGAGAGAGAGAGAGAGGAGTTGAAGAGAGACGGAGACGCTCGGCGTCCTCGAATGGTTTCAAAGTGAAGAACTGAAACATCAGTTTCAGGGACACAAGTTTCAAATCAAAGAAACACGTCACCATCTTAATGTCCCAGTCACCATGGCAACCAAACCGTCTTCACAGCAAACGTGTCCATTAAGAACGACTCCGACGTTAAACATGTCTCGTTTATATGAATTAACACACGTCAAGTCCCGCCTCCTGCTGCTCTGCAGGCTCCGCCCCTCGTCTGAATGTTCACTTTGTTGTGAACGAGTCGGACGATCGGCCGCTTCACACACTGACTACACAACATGACTACACAACAAGACTACACANAAACACCTTTAGGATGAATCAGGGACATTTGCTGTCGGGAAACTTTTATATGACTAAATTAAATTGAGAAACAGTGAGACTGGAAATTTCTGTGCAACAGAAAGGTTCAGGTTCTGGGGAGCTGCTACATGCCAACTGGGACTACAGATCAAGTTCTGAAAGAGACCACACAAGAGACTCATTAAAAACTTTCACACTACTTGATACTTCCTCACCCATACACTTCCACACAGTGCCTGGCTATACAGCTCAACAGTATGGTTCCGAAAGTAAACATTTATGTTTGTGACATATATTCAACAGGTAAACATACAAACTGTGGTGAAAGATAATTTCACTGTCTCTAACCACACACAGACAAGCCCTTGAATCTCTAGAAGAACACTGCAGCTTCTGTGGCCAGTGTAGCCCGGGCGTAACATAATGTGTTAATGGGCACCAAAGGAATGTTTGTGTGAACATATTATCTCTTTCTTTGGGAAAAAATGAGTGACTAAGTTCCCGCCTTTCTCCCTCTCAGCTTTCTGTTGCCTTGTTTTTCATTTTTGATATCCCGAGTTCTTCAGTGACGATATGTCAAATCTATCAGTTCTACATTGCACACTTACTGGAAAGCAAGCAACACAATATAATGTATCTACGCAAGACTGAGCCATGCAATGAACAGAGAGAGGTGTGTAATATAAAGGCTGTTCTAATANCTACGCAAGACTGAGCCATGCAATGAACAGAGAGAGGTGTGTAATATAAAGGCTGTTCTAATAATTTTGCCAAATATGGAGAAACAAACCACAAGTTAAAGTGTTTTTAATAGATTTTACATAATTTTAATTACATTAACTAACTAATAATAATAGAGTTATGCAATTCCCCCTTCCTTTCCTGCAATGCTGGGAACTATGTTTCTTCTATGGCAATATGTGTGTGTGTGAAACCTGACAGGGAACAGCTTGAGGCCACACAGTAATACAGGCACCTTTGGGATGAGTCAGGGACAGTTGCTGTTGGGAAACTTTTATATAATTAAAACAAATTGAGAAACAGTGAGACTGGAAATTTCTGGGCAACATAAAGGTTCAGGTTCTGGAGGAGCTAAATGGGACTACAGATCAAGTTCTGACAGATACCATACAAGAGACTCATTAAAAACTTTCACACTAGTTGATACTTACTCACCCATACACTTCCACACAGTGCCTGGCTATACAGCTCAACAGAAAAAATCCCATTTTTTGAATAGAGATTTTGATCATCAAACATAATCTTTTAACCATCCAAGGTAGACATAACACAGACTACAAGATTGTGAAAATGTTTTATATTCTCCTGTGGAAGCCACAATATCTGTATGCTATCAACCATGTTTTAAGAAAAACATGTTTTATTGGTGATGTCAAGGAGGAGTACTACACTAGCCACTATCCTGCGACAGCTGTGATTGGTGGAGCTTGCTTTTATTAATGAAATATTTTCTATAACAGCGACAACCTTGTGGGCTACGATCAGATAATTAAGTGTTACATTACGTTTGCCACAGAGCAAACATTATTTCACTTTCTAACATGCTGCACTTTTCAGAGATGAGGAAAAGAATCCAAAGAGGTGAAATTCAATACAACAAGTGTAAATTCAAGAAGAAGCGCTGGCAGTCATTAGAAAGGGATCATTCGTGAGGGTTTTTTGGATGCATAGTTCCTTCCCCCTTAAAATAATTCTCTACACAGACTTTTTTTCTGTCCAATATTGTTTTGCTACAAATCTAATGTTTAATGGTCACGATTCTCGCAGCATGTAAGCCTAGTTCCTGGCTTAAAACTCTTTTTATAAGGATTTTCATCAATAGAGAAAATAAATTTACTCCCAGAACCAGGGCCGTTCTAAAAGTGGGCATTCAGTCGGCCACACAATACTGATTCAAATCCACTTATACTAGAGATAATAATAACTTTTCATCCAAACTTATATTCTTTGAAGGAGAAAAAAACAGCATCCTACCACTCTGTTTGCTCTGATTTGCACTTTGAGCACACACAACATGTTCCTATACAGACAAAGACAGACTGTGCTGGGTAAAAGCTTACATGTCATATAGAAGGTCATAGATCAGTTTGAGAGGCTGCAGCTCTGATGATCTACTCACAGAGTGATTATTCTGTATGCATGTTTCACCCATTCTGCTCTTTCAGTCTCAGGCGGTAGGCGGTCTCAGGCTTTTGGACCACACTGTAACTTGTAGTCTACATGTGCTCTGGTCTGTGGTGTCTCAGGTACATCAGAGAAAGGTTGGTGTTTGTCAGTCAATTCAAATTGAATGAGGAGTTCATCTCTTTGTTTTTCATGTGATCTTGACTTGAATTTTCACATGATTGGAAACATGGGAACAGGAATATTGTCACGATGCTTGCTTGCTTGGTTACCCCTGTTTACTTCATATTTTATTTTGTTCTTTTTAATGTTATTATATTCAAAGGTTTCATATTCTCATATTTAGTTGTCTCACGTAAGCGTATTTCTTAAGATGACATAGGAAAAAAATCTGCATATTTATTACAGTAACCATGATGACAAAGGTCCAGACAGGGTTGCTGCTAGAAATGTTGGCCCTATGAAAGAATAGAGAACCCATTTGATGACCCGTCAAATGTACTGGAAAGCAAGCAACACAATATAATGTATCTACGCAAGACTGAGCCATGCAATGAACAGAGAGAGGTGTGTAATATAAAGGCTGTTCTAATAATTTTGCCAAATATGGAGAAACAAACCACAAGCCAAAGTGTTTTTAATAGATCTTACATAATTTTTATCACATTAATTAACTAATAATAATAATAGAGTTCAAGCGATTCCCCCTTTCCTTTCCCACAATGTTGGGAACTATGTATGAGTGTGGGCTTTAAGTTTGAGAACAGGACTCATTGATTTGAAATACAGACAAAGCAGAGCACTCAACAAAACTCCATATCGCTAGTAGTTGTCAACAACTCCACATTAAATCAAGCAAGAGTGAAATTTTTGTTCACTGCAGTCTCGTGTTCTGATAAACTCAGTGTCACAGTGAGACTCTCTCATTCCTGAATTCCTTCAAAAGCACTTGAGTGTGGATGAGATTGCTGAAAGTATATTTGTCAGACAGTGTTCAAAAGGTTTATGCCATCTTCAATTTACTGAGTGTGTGTGTGTCAGCCAAGCACATACCAACAATGGCATACATGTCATTTTAAAAAGTGCACTTACACAAACAAACCTGGGCAGTGATGCCCTGCTCAGTATCCTACCTGCCCAAAGACAGAGTCCACGATGGGTCGCAGCTTCCTCCTGTCTCCCTCTTGCAGCCAGAGGTCGTCAGGATTTTCCACTGGAGAGGACAGACTCAAGGTCTTGGCCTTTTGCTTTGGAGGCCTCTTTATACTGGCTGAACTCCATCGCCTGAACGACTCGATCTTCTTCTTGATGGAGCCCTGGAACAGGCAGGATGACGATACAGCAGAAGTTGAATTGCAGGTGAAGAAAAATAATTTCACACAAAATGATGGATGGACAAAATAATGAAAGAGCAGCAACTTGGTGACAGATAATTATTGATGCAGCAGGTTTCATGATGAACTGAAATGTATTTTACTCCAATATTGAATGCAACGCAAGTCTTTGAAAGCAAGGTATTGGAAAGACAGTTGAGTTAAAGAAGCTGCTGCCACACAGGTAAGATAAAGACGTCTTCTGTTCAAATCTAACTATCATAATGTAAGAACTCTGACAGGATCCTGCATGTTGGACACAGAGCAAGTTGACAGTCACAGAAAAAGATTTTAACTGATGGTAAATGTTGAATGAAAACATGAATATCTATACGAATCCTCTAAAATTGACACAGTGTTAAAATGAATACAAATTTACACAACAATTTGTTTTGAAAGTATGTCCATACCACTCAGGCCTCAGATGACAAACCTTGTGTTACTACACAACGTCATGTTGAGTGTGTAACTGGAACCGTGGCAGGATTGAACACATTTCAGTTCACTTTTGGTGTACACATCTACTGACCTTCTTCATTAACTTCCCATCTTGCACCTCCACGGACGATACGCTTTTCGCATCAGTCATCTTTGCAGCCCAGCTTGCATACAGGTCCTCTCTCTCTCTGTCACTCTCTCTCTCTCTCTCTCCCTCCTGTCACACTCTGGTCCACTCGTCCTCTTTATCTGTCCCTAGAATATGTGACACTGGTTGATAATCTGAGGCATATCTCCCACTGTTGTTGCTCCTCCTTCTCACATCTGACTCTGTCTCTTTCATCCCTCCTCCTGCATCTGTATCCATCATTCACTTTTTTCATCTGCCGGATTGTTGCCGTCTCTTCTCTCTATGTAGACACAACTGGGACACTGATGAAAATTCACACAGACACAGATATTTAGGCACATTGCTGAGAAATATTGATCTTAAGTCTGTCTTTTTAAAATCTTGGTTTTCATATGTCACTTAATGTGTGTATGCGTGTTTTCTAGCTTAGCCATGTTGTGGTGACCTAAATCTGTTCTCACAGTCACAGTATGGGGACTTGTCTTCCTTATGGGAACCAAAAGCAACTCCCCATAATGTCAATCATTACATTTTAGGTGTTAGGGTTAAATCTCCAGGAAATCAATATAAGTCAATGTGATGTCCTCTGAAGTTATGGAGAAACAAATGTGTGTGTGTGTGTGTGTGTGTGTGTGTATGTATGTGTGCATTTCCCATTGAAAAATCTTTCATTTGCTGAAAAGTCAAGTCAAGTTTGGAAAATAATGATAGTTCTGCACACACACTGTCTCTTTTTGAGCTTGACACTATTTTCTGTCCATGTATGTGACATCTCCATTAATCCTCTATTAATTTCCTGCCTCCCTCTCTCTCTCTCTCTCTCTCTCTGATCTCATCTGTTCTGATGTACGCTCGGCCTCAATCCTCTGCACTTTATAGTGTTTCCCATTGTTTATTACATTCACCATATGGCGCTTGTGCAGTGCGCGTACTAACACACAGACTTAGCACACATCGCTGCACGTACAGCATGATGTATGAGGTGTAGGATAATACTCCTGCTGAGGGCTGATGGGACTTCTGTGTCAGAGATGTTTATTCCTAAATGGGAACAGGACTGGCAGGTACTGTGAAATAACACAGGAGGGTTAAATGAGGAGTTGCTGCAGCCGAACAAGAGCCAACAGGTAGATCTGAAGAATGTGATGTGTGAAATGGGGTCTGTGGGCCACAGGAAAAGTACAAATCAAGTTGTCACTACAGCAGAATCCAAGTGAAAGGAATTCATTATGCAAACTGCAATCTTAATACATCAGTTCAATTAAATTAGTTAAGTTCAACTGTCCAGACCAAGCTACACTATCTTACATTACTCTACTGTGGTATCTTTGTAACATGGTCCTATAATTTTATATAGTTTTGTATAAATTGTGCTTGTAGCAGTAGTTCTTACAAGAATGGTGCAACCTAATGGTCTTGGCTGAGAGGTTGTGAAAGTAATGATAGTTTATCAATGAAGCTGAACTTCATAGATCTCATATTGGTGCAGTTTTATTGGATAAGTGATTTCTACTTATTTAATATAAGTAACACGCTGTCACTATATGTTCAAGTGCAAGTAGGCTTAACCGACAATAACTGTACCCATGTTCTGGGAGTGGACCACTATCTCCATGTTTGACTTCCACAGTTGCGTTGTAATGTTATTGGCGAAATCATTGTAGTATCAAATGAGGCAATAATTTGCCAACTTATCTGTTGAAACTATTAAGACTTCTCTGGCAACGTTATAGTAGGCTGCTATCACTACAGCAGTACTAAAATACTATAATGACGAATGTTTGAATGAGAGTAAAAACTGTTTTGGCTGAACCACAGATCACTCTATCCTTTGGATCATGCCCACATTGAACCCACCCAAATTAATATTTCTGACAATGCTACTGGTTCACTGGCACTAGAAATGTTGTACATTCACTCCCACCTCCTTTAAAACCAAGTATTTACTCGTCATAGCAGCACAGACACACACACAGTTGCACGTGCTGTAACAAAGCAGAGTCACTCTCTCTGCCTGCACTGAGAAACCTATGGTATTTCATTTGAAAAGAAACCAATAGTCAATTGAGGTCATCATCGAAGATATCTCATCCATCCTCGACTGCTTTTTAAAATCTGACAACGAATAGCATATTTTTGAACGAAATCTCTTCACAAACTTGAAGCTGAAACAAGTCCTGGTCCGACCTGAGAGCTCAGGGGTGAGTATTACACTGACATTCACAGCAAGTGGATTTATTACTTTCTGCTGCTTGCACTAAAATAGTATTGGTGCATTTCATTTTCAGATGGTTAAACTTTCTGGATATAAGTTATCTCCATTTAACAGAATCAGGAATTATGCTGAGTGTTGATAGTTTATTGTTGAATCCAACCTTATATGAAAATCACAGTATCAACCTGAGTTGACTTTATGTCACAAATACAAAGCAAAAAAATACTTGTCATAAACAAGAGAACGAACATGATAGATGAGCTAAACTTTACTAGAGACTTTTCTACATATAGACATACTGTGTCATGGTAAAATATGGTCCTGTTGTGCGAACAAGCACAAAGGCAGTTCCCTGACAGTTATTTATAGGACTGTCCATCTGTGTAACAGTGTTGTAAGAGGAAGTCATGAAACGTTACAGGTGTCTCGCTAAAATCAAAATGGAGGCAGCGTACAAAGTTGGGTGTGGTCTGACCGATGCAAACTTAGTTCCCACACAATAACACATTGATAACGACAGACTACTCATCTAATAATATAGCAATAACTAATGAGTACTCATGGGTTGGAACATGTCAACATGTTAACGGTTAACAGTTGTATTTCACTAAACTTGCATTGACGGAATAAACACAGAAGCTGTGGAAGAAGTTATCAAATCCTTTTAATCTAGTTAAATTTTTTAGAAAGTTTATTACATTAAAGAACCAGTACCTATCCATTATTAGTTCTGCATATAAAAATAACAAATAAATAATGTAAGAAAGAGTGCAGTAAATTGGACAACCAAAAATTAGAAGCTGTGGCTCAAAGGTAAAGTGACCCTGTGACTGATATATTATTATCTTCATACAATAGTTAATGAAGCGTCTGTGTGAAAGCAGCATTTTACTATATTTGTTTTACTGTAGATGCTGAAGGTGGAACTGATTTTTATATTATATAACGTTATGTTGCTTGGTCCTGTGGTTCCCAACGCAAGAGCTTGTGCCTATAAAGAGTTACACAAGTAAAGTGTGTAAGAAAAAACATAAAGCTAAAAAGATTTTTCATGAAAAAAGGTAAATGAACAATATTTATTCAGTCTTGATGACCATTCAACCGCTTTACAGTACAATAATTTTTTTTCCATTCACACACACATTCATACAGTTCAATTATGTGCAACACTTTCTCCATCAAACATCACAAAAACCAAAGCGTTCATTGTTCAAAAATAGAATTGTGAGACAGAGACATGTGGTTTTTGTTTCTTTAAATTTAAAAGCTCAACATTTCTCTAAGGAATCATTTGGAATTGCCTGAAGATTGATGGTGTAAATGAATCACTCTCTACCTCTGTTATGCAGAAGACAACTTTTTATCAACAAACAAATGGTCTTCAATGACGTGGAAATCACTGACGTGTAACTCGGCTTTAACTCTCCAGCTAGCATCTGTCAACTATAAGTACTGTGGCAGTGCATTTAACCCCCTTAAAGCAATACTCCCCAACCATTCCTCTCTCATCTTGTATTTCACTTTTCTACAAAAACATGACCCTCTCCAGATTTGTTAATATTTTGCCTTAGATCCTCCATGTGCCCTGAAAAACACCCTAAAATGTTAAAATACAGAATCTGAGTGATTCAGTTTATCATCAACATATTCTTAAAAACAAGGGAAAAGGTTAGATAAAAGCTTATATGACTGTGCACTGGAATTCGAACCATATCGTAATGTAACCATCATTTTTACACAGACAACAAATTTGAGATGAGATGTGAAATTTGCCAAATTCGTGGAAGATTTTGGATTAAAAAAAACAATTGTGAATATATTTTTTGACAAAGAGCTGATAAATTACCAGTGAAGGGCACAACATGCTGAACTTGAGTTATACTTGTATACACCATGTATATACCATGTAAGATGCAGTTCATTCTGGCAAATTGACCAATAAGATACCAGCTGATCCTGTGCCTCTACATTCATTATAGTCCAGTTCTGCAATGGACATGTTTCACATCTAACACATTTCAAACAATTCAATTATATGTATGTTTTTTTCTGTATTTTCTCCTCCCCTTTCTCTGGCATTTTCCGTAGAGCAAAAAAAGAAAAATGTATGAAAAGAGAGAGCGAGACAGAGAAAGATAAACTGCTGGAACTTCGTATGTCAGTCTGACCTGTTAAAATTTAATCCTGCACTGTCTTTATATTCTGGATCTATTCTCACCAAATTACAACTACCGCATTGTGCTGCTGTGGCCTAAATTACACCTCGACCTGTGTGGCCACGTGTTTACAATTGAGTCTGATGGAACCAGACGATTGTGGCGGCGGCAGTGAGACAGTCAATCAAAATGGATATCAGACATGATGAAATCCAATCACTAAGAAAGGTGGCCTGACGTTCAGCTGTTCAGATTTAAAAAAGCTCCTGGATTACAGGACCTGAAAAGCATAATCCTACTATATAATTTCATGTCTGTTTATGCAATCAAGGCTATACTGCTGTCTGGTGGCCAGAATGGGCATAGCATGGGCACTCAATTTCCAACAGTAGTTGTTACATGAGCACTGATGATCTTGTCCCTTTATCACAATTTCCATCAGATTTTCATTTTTCGTTTTAGTTGGATACACTTACGGGGCCAAAAGAGAATAAACTACATATGAATTATCATGAATTGACATGAAAAATATCAGAAAAATGACTTTTAAAGTATCATTTACTATTGTTATTTTCTTCCTTTACTCCTCCCGTTAGGATTTCTTTAACCCATTCTTTGGAATGCTTGTTCCTAACTTTACAGCAATAGTTAACAAGATATTTTAATATAACTAAATATGTCAGCCTGTGGAGTCTGTCTGGTGGCCATGAAATTATAATGCTTGCGAATAAGATAATATATCATGGCCACAAGTTATATAGTTGTGGGAATAATATAAATAACTTGTGGCCACAAGATATGAATCTGTTCTTTGCTAACAAGCCCTGGCTAATTAAACTGAAGAAGCCTCTTGGTCACATGTTATCAGTTTAGCCTATATAAGCAGCTCTTGGATGATAGGTGGAGAAATAGTTGGTGAGACATTTAGTCTGGACCGAAGTCGTGGACCAACCCATCAACGGATTGACATTTCTGTCTGTAGCTGTAGAGCCATGTAGCCAAGCAAGGCTAAAAAAGTACACAAACCTTCCTGCCGGCTCCTGTCTTTAGTACATTTTGCAGTAGCCTCAGTTTAAATTCAATATGTCCAAGTCCATCGACCAAATTAAGCTTACATGTACACTAGGAAGTATGTACATCTATCATTCCATTAATTCAAATGTAACCCTAAAACCAAGTGGGACCTCAGCTTTGCTACATCTCAATTTTTGATTCTTGTCCTGTTTTGTCCATGTGAGGATCTTCAAGGTTTTCAGAGGCCAAAGGCAGAGGGAGTGCATGTCCGATAACAGGTGATTGACAGGGTGATAATGACCTCTTCAATGACCCTGGTGTCACAGGGCTCACATCTTGACTGCTTTTCTGCCTTATATGAGCTTTTATGGTCTTTCCTTGAGTGATTAGGAACCCTCTGTCCTCTTCTACCAGTCCGTCAAACACTGCTCCTAGACTCTGTCGTATTCTTACGCAGAAGTGTGGACAGCTGAAGGCGTACAGAATGGGGTTCAACACTGGATTTAAGAATGCGATGGTTGTAGCGAGGGGAAGCCCCACCTCCACCAGTTTGCGATTGCTCTTCCAGTAATGTGCCGTTAGCTCGATGATGCAGAAGATGTGATAGGGAGCCCAGCACAGTGCAAATGCAGTGATCACAAATGTCACCATTCTGATGAAGCTCTGGGACATCTGGCCCAGATTGGTCTGATTAGAGATGGTAGTTGGCGTCGAAGCTAAAGTTGGACTCGAGGACAGAGACTTAAGGAAGTTAGTTTTTGTGTTTGTAGCTCCTGATGCTCGGTCTTTGTTTGACATGATCAGTAGATCTGTTTGTCTGGTGGTGCTCTGCTTCCTCCTTCTGCTCCTGCTTCTCAGCTTGAGACCTATTTGGATGTAACTCCCTGCAATCACCACCAAGGGAAAAAAGAATGCTAGCAGCAACTTGGAGATGGCTGTTGCTGCCTGTCTAACTTCACAGTCTCTCTTCAGTGTTGCTTGGGAGGATAAAATCAAAGCAAAATTATGATAGCACAAATTTCCTCCCCTCGGTTTCTCAGTTACCGAGCGAAACACGGTGTAAGGTATTGTATTCAGTGCAGCCCATAGCCAACCTAATCCACACACCTTCCATGCTCCTGCCACTGACCGATGATTCTGGCTCCACACTGGCTTAACTACAAGAAGCAAGCGGTCTAGTGAAATTGCGGCCAGCAGGAAGGCTGACACAAACATGTTTATGAAGAAGATGGAAGCCTGTGTCTTGCAGAGCACCTTGCCAAGCTCCCAGCTGTGGGAGTGGTAAAGGTAAGATGTGAAGAGGGGGAGTGTCAGGGTGGCTAGGAAGTCAGACAGGGCCAGGTTGAGCACCCAGATGGAGGCGACGGTGCGGTGCTGAAGGCGGAAGCCAACCACCCAGAGGATCAGAGCGTTTTCAAGAATCCCCAAGCAGGAGAACAGACTGTGGATGCAAATCACCACCATATTGGCCTGACTGTTGTTGTTATTGCTATGCTCCCGCATGTCCTGCAGCAGGGGGCAGAAGAGCTCTCTGCTGGTGTTTGACATCTGTGCTCTGAAAGAAAAAACACAGATAAGGAGATCCATTAATGGAGAACTGATCCAAAACTGGTGCTCACAAGCCTCTTCTTGCTTTGTAGGCTGTGTATTATCAGTAGATTTGCCTTTACCTGTTGACAGCTGATAAACAACCACCTCCTTTCCTCCGACTCTGATTAAATGAAATAATCATGATTATAAATGGACTTTGCTGCCAAGGAAACTGTAGGCAAAACTGCCCTAAAAGTCTTTAAGTTGATGACAAGATTTTAAACATGATTGACATGATTGTGATGATAGATCTTCTCGTACAGTATTAATTAAAGAAGTTATTATAGAAGTTATAGAAGTAGAGGCTTATTCGTTTACTCTTTATTTGATGCAACCATCACTTTTGTGTATCAAATGAGAGGTTTTCAACAACAAATGACAAAACATCGTATTCCTGATAAGAACATGTTGAAGCCTGTTGCAATGGTGTAACCACATACCAACTCTTGAGCAACTACACATACTAAGGAAAGCAATACAGTCTTTTTGCTTGGATGTCAGCTAGCTTTATACAGATTTAAGTATTATCTGTGGTAAGATTTATCAGTATAT